GAGAGAGAGAGAGAGAGAGAGAGAGAGAGAGAGAGAGAGAGAGAGAGAAGCAGCATCATGGATTCCCTTTGTCCACTTTGAGTGTAGTTTTCTTTCTTCTCTCCCATGGGGGGAAGTTTTCACTTTCTCAAAGATTCACACAACACCCATCACACAAGTCAACCAGACACAATGATGGCGTCTTTGTAATGGGAACATGTTTGTGCAACAGGCTGACTCGGCAAGTGTGCTAAAGGGCCGAGTTCCCACAACCTTGCTTGGCTTTGCAACCTGGTTTGCAGCTCTGCTTCCAACTACAGCCTGGGATGTGGAACCCTTTCAGCCCAGGTGTCGAGCGGAGGCGACCCACTGCTGTGGGGAAGGGGCTCAGCCCAGCCTTCTTCCTGTTTGGTGCAGCAGCAGCAACCCAGGGAGAATCAGGGAGACTTGAGGCTCAATGGCCCCGCAAGCCAGGGTGCCAGGGTCCCTGCGGTCACCCTGGGCAGATGGCAGAGCAGGATCCCAGATTGGTCGAGGGTGCTGAGTCCCTGCCCCAAATCCTGGTGCTGTTGGATAAACCCAGCCGTGGGAGCCAGGCTCTCCTCCTCCCCCAAGTAGAGTTGAAGGGTTTCAGGCTTGTTCAAATGCCCGGCAGGTCCAAACCTGAATTCCGTGGATAAGGAGCTGAGGAAGCTTTCCTCTTTCCTGCACATTCCTGGAGGATCCACTCACCTCCCACCACTGGGAATCCGGTTCCCCTCGGAGCAGCTCAATCACTTCGCCCATCTGGAAAGTTAAGACGGGTTTCCCTGGTGGAGCTGGGTTGCCATGGTAATTCTGGAGGGCCACCATTTTAGGGCCTGGGAAGAAGCCAGAAACAGCAGGGGCTTGGGTGGGTCTCTCAGCCAAGGAGGCTGCTCCCTGGGGGGCCCTGAAGCTCCCTTCCAACTGTGTTGTTCTGCTCAGTCCTGTTCAGAGGGGTTTGGGCTCTGCCCTGCAGGAGGTGCCCACTGCCGGGGCAAAAGGAAGGCCTGTCTCACCCTGAGCTGCCATTTCCCATTTCTGGGCAGGCCGCCAGCTCTGCAGGATCCAGCTCTTTCTTAAGAAATGCTCAAGGTCTCCGTGATGACTTCTTGGCTCCATGAACAAAAGGTTGTTTAAAGGGGAGCTTGCACTTGTGAGCAGCTGCCCCCTGCGCCCCTGAGTAGAATTAACTAAAGACTTTTTCTGTGGGGCGGGGGGAGGAGGGGCTCAGATCGGCTTATTGACAAATTGCTGACTGCAGAAGGTACACGATGAACTTTAATTTTAAATTTATGTCTGCCCTTCCATACTGTTTATTAAAATAATAAAATATGTAATGTGGAAGAGATTTGGAAAGGGAGGGCTGGCTGGCTTCATCTGCTGTGCTAGTCCCTCCCTCCCTTACAGGAACTTCTCACAAATTCCCCAGCACAAATCTTGAAAGTGACAAACTGCACCAAGTATTCACTCTGCTTTTTGATTTAAGGGGCACATTTTCTAAAAGGCAAGTGGATGGTGTGGGGAGGAGGAGGCTTACCTTGATTCAGTGATTCCTGTCCAGAAATAAAAAGAAAGACGTCTCAGTCTCCTGGAGACTTTCTGTCCACACTATGAGCTACTTTTGCTCTTAAAACTGACACACACACCCCGGTGTCCCCCCCCCACCCAGCAAAGGCCTTACAGAGACGTGACAGTTTGGATTCTGAGCCGCAGCCCCCACCCTCTCCCATTGAAATCGGGAGAGAAAACGCCGCAGAGGAAAGGGTGCCCCGTCTCAGGACCAACCAAGGAGCCAGCCTGGCATCTAGGAAAAGGGGCCTTGGAGAAAGGGTTTCCCCGGGGTCTTCGGCTGGCACTTTGCTCCCTGCAAAGTCCTTCCCCAGAGAGGAGGGAAGAAGAGCCGCACTGCTTACCTGCTCAGCAGGAGAACCTAGAAGGCAACGTTGAAGAGGGGCTGGTTAATGGAGAAGCTATCTAGGAGGATCAGCCCAGCTGGCGAGTTTGTGTGTGCAGATCTCAGGACTACCTGGATCCCCCCACCCCCCATTTCTTGCTATTCCAAATTCTCTTCCCTTTGACCCACCTTCAGTACTTAGAACACCCTTTCAAAACGATTTATGATGTGCAAAATCCTCTAAACGGCTGCAGAAGGGATGTGCTGCTCTGCCCTTGTGGGACTGAGTGAGAGGCTGACGGGGACCCCAACAAGGAAGGTGACCAGGGAAGGGCTCAGCCCTTCTACCTGTCCCTGGGAAAGAAGCCCACGGAGACAAGTTCTTGGGACGCAGCAGCCCAGAGAGAGATGCAGGGCACCAAACTCAACAGGTAGCCATTACAGAGAATAGTAATAGCACTTAGACTTACATACCGGTTTGCAGTCCTCTCTAAGCCGTTTACAAAGTCAGCTTCTTGCCCCCAACAATCTGGGTCCTCATTTTACCCTCCTCGGAAGGATGGAAGGCTGATGGTTGGCACTTGAGCTGGTGAGATCCAAACTGCCAAATTACAGGCAGCTGGCAGTCAGCAGAAGGAGCCTGCAGTACTGCACTCTGACCACCATGCGCCACCACGGCTCATGAATCATCCCTTTTATTACAGGGAAACATGTGCTGATTTGGAGAGCACCAGCCCAAGCCGTCCCCACCAGTCTTCCCTGGGGCAAAGGAGTGGACAGCCCAGGCTCTCTGCTTCACCTGGGGGCACCAGGACAACAGATTCCCTGACTGCAGACACAGCTGCCCTGTTTTCTGGGCTAGTTGGCAGCTCTGCAGGGTCTGATGCAAGGGGCTTTTCTCTCTCCCCCCCTCCTTCCTGCTCTATGTGGCGTGGATCACTTACTGAACTTGCAGGGTGGGATGACCTCCAGGCACTCCTTGTGGGCGCCCGCCTTGCACTTCAGGCACTGGTAGCCTTGGTAGAAGGTCCCCCTGCGGAAAGAGACGCTGCTAGCCCAGAGTGCCTGCCTAGAGCTGCTCCCCTGGTGGGCACCCTTCGCACAGCAGGCTGCACCCCCAGGGAGCCCCTTGGAGCAGGAGCAGGGGAAGCTCCCCGATACCGGAAGGCTCCAGATCCCCAGGCTCTCCTCAGATGCAGGGAAGCCCTTCCGCTCAGATGCTGAGTTGGGGCTGAGCCCACCCCTGTTGAAAGCAGCTGTGGCACTGGGGGCCCAGAGCCAAGGAAACCCTCGGTTGAGGCCAGCCAGGCTCCAAAGTGGGCTCCAAAGCAGGTGCAGCTGAGGGGCTGCTTGGGGCAAGGACTCCCCTGCTTTGCTGTGCCAAGAAGCCCCAGAGCTGCACGGCTGCCGGTGGTGCTGTGTCTGCCTGAAGAAGGAAAAACACTCACCTTAGAAACATCTTGCAGGCTTTGCAGTTGGTGGTCTTGTCAAAGGTGAACATCTGGAACTGGTGATTGTTCGCCGTAGCTTTCTCGGGCTTAATGTTGGATCTGGGCAAAGAAAAGGTGCCCACTCAGCTCAGGCAAAGCAAGTGGCAGCTCCTCTTTGGGGAGGTTGGCAAGAGGGCTCAGGGCCAGGCCATGGGGCACAACTTAGTCCCGCCCACACATCCCATGTGCCAATGCCCGGGTCAAGACTGCCAGCTGGAGCTTCTGGCTTCTTGGCCGTTCAGCCTTTCAGTCTGGGCCCGGCCAGGACGCAATTGCCGGACACTCACATGGCCATTTCAAACTGCTCCATCCACTTCCGTTTCATCTCTTCCGTCTTGCAGAAAAACTGGAATCCCTGTTTGCCTTGAAGGTGGGTGAGGTAGAAGCCGTAAGACCACTGGGGGGAGAGAGGGGGGGAGGGGACTGAGCGGGAAGCAGAGGCAGCAGATGCCCAAGGCCAGTGCGGGCCAGGTGGACTGGGGGCAGCCATTGCACCACCCTGAAAGCTGGCCTCAAGAGGCACCCTTGGGCGGCCGAGTCGCAGCACCAGAGGCAGCAAGCTTGGCCAACCGTCCTCGGTTCCTGGCCACAAGGACTGGGAATTCAGTGCCGGCTCCGGGAGGGCAGAAGCCGAGTCGGGCATGGCTTCCTTCTCTTTCTCATCAGCAGCAAGGAAGAGGCTGCCTCTCCACTTGCCCTTGTTGGGGAAGCTCACCTCAAAGGGCTGTTTGTAAGCCTCCCTGCAGTAACTGCAGCCCCCCACGCAGCCCCCTGGACGATGCACAACCAGCCCTGCCTAGGATTATTACAGCAGCAGCAGCAAAAGACAAAGAGAGTGGGAATCAGTAGAGACGGCTTACCATTTTCCCATGCGACTGAGAAGCAAAAAGGAAGCGAAGGGGAGACACAGTTGGTTACCAAATCCCACCTGTTCAGACTCTAAAACAAGCGGGGCCCTTTCTCCCCATCACCACAGCCCCAGTCCCAGGTAGGCCAGATGTTCAGGGAATGAATGGGGGGGTCTCTTTGTGGATGTGCCCCCTCCAGAGCTTTGGGGGGGGATTCCACCTGCTAAGCCCCCTAGAAGAACAGGGGTTCCTTCGTGCAGGGAAGAAAGAGGCACAAAAGGGGGTGGATTTCCTGAGATCTCCTTCCTGCTGCCACACATCCATTCAAGCAGCAATTGTCCATGTGGGAGCCCTTGTTGGCAGCTGAGCAGAAAAGGGGCTTCTCCTTGTGGCCAATGTGGCACGAGAGTGGCAGTTGCTCAGTGTGGTTCCTCTCAAGGGCCCAAGCAGCACAAGGACACCCCCTGCCCCCAGGCCAGCTCCTTGCAGCACCACCAGGCAAGGTTGCCCCCCAAAGAGACACCAACTGTGCTTCCAGCTGTTAGAGCTCTCCCCCACTTGTGGTGCCCAACATTGGCCGTGAAGGAAAGGGAGAAAAAAGAGAGGGAGGGACTCTGCACCACCACCCACCTTCTTGATGTCCTTGTTGTTGGTGGGGTCATCGGTCATCTTGTAACAGAGCAGCTCCAGGATGTCCTTCTGCTCATAGCTGTAGCCTTTCCTCTTGCAGACAATCACCACTTTATCAAACAAAAACAAATACCTGTCCCAGAATCAGAAGAGGAAACTCAGCAAGCGTCTGCACGTTCGCCCTCCCCCCAGGCTTTGGGGAAGGGGCTCCGACCATCCCCCCTCTCCTCCAGTGACCCTAACCTTAACCCTAACCCTCTCCTCCAGTGACCAGGAGATCCATGCCAGCTGAAGAGGGCTCACTTGTGCCTTGATGTCCCAAGTGGAATCCTTGGTCAAGAGGATTTATCATCTCTGGCCAGTGTAGCCAATTTCTGGACCCTAGAAGTTTCAGGTGGCTGCCTGGGAGTCCCAGCCTAGGGAAGATTCTGCGTCTCCAACAGACCCGGCCAGATGCCCCCCCCCCCCCGGGGGGGGGGG